CCCCCCCCCCCTTTTTCTCCTTTTGTCTTTTTCTGTCTCTCTCTCCCTATCTCTCTCTAGACATCAAATCTATACCATACGAGTACACCTCCCAGTCGAAAAGGCAGTTTTAAACATCACAATTTTTTTCAACACAGCAGAACTTTTCAAATCTATCACTGGAACATGACAAACTGAATCTAATCAAATACATTCAAATTTGAAGAAAACAAACGGTATAATAATATACATCAGCATAATAAGAATAATAATAAATAGAACATTAAAAGGGCATAGTAATTAGAAACATAACAGAACATTACAAGGACATAGTGTCGACATCTGCTTTGTTCTAGCGTTCAGACGCTTCCTCTCAGAAGAGAGAGTTTGATTCCTGCGTTTTTCTATCGAATGTCCCTGTCTGTTTACTGGGGTGTAGGCTTAGATCTAGTCATCCTCAATTAATTATGCCGTGCACTCAATCTCTCGTTATACTTGAGAACTAGTCCGTCTTAATTTCCCAGTACATCCAAACTTCGTTCACCCACTTACCGCAAGTACATTCGGTGCACCTTAATGTACCGGTACACTTACATCTTTAATCCACTCAAAGGTACACTCGTATCTAGTCCACCTCAATCTCCCTATACACTTAGATCTAGCATTTACAATCTCCTGGTACACTAAGATCTAGTCCATCCACTTCCCATGAACTAGAGCCAGCCCCAGAAAATGCTTTGGCGATCCCTGGACCGCCTCGCGCTCCTGGGGAACTCCTAGGACGGTCAAGGTTTCCTGGAGCCTCATGAGAACTCCCTGAAGTTATCCAACCACCTGAGGCTGAGGGGGACTTTCCATTGGCTTCAGCAGTTGGATCAATTTCAAAGGAGTTTGCAAGAACGTTTGGATCGGTTAAAGATCTTCCAGATTTGACAGGACTAAATGGATTCTTCCAAGCTCTCTGCGACCTTGCTGTATGGTACACGTATATGTGTATGAAGTACACCTTAATCTCACGGCACACTTACACCTATAGTCCACTCAAAGGTACACTGAGAGCTAGTCCACCTCAACCTCCAGGTACACTTAGATCTAGTCTATTAAATCTCCTGGTGCACTAAGATTTAGTCCACCTCCAGTAGTCTCTCGGTACATAATCTTAATCACTTGGTACATTTCAATCAATTCATATCAATTTCAAGGGACACTTAACTTGTCCACCCAGTCTCCTGTTACATTTAAATCACCTCAACCTCCAGAAACACTTCGTTCACCTCAGTTTCGTACAACACAAAGGCCTTACACAGGTGAATTAGTCCACCCCAATCTCAAGGTACGGTACACATGGATCTGGTTTGCGTTAAGAGGTTGTCCGTGGCATTGTAGTGAAATCAGGCGCTCGTCAAAATAAAGAAATCATAGAAACCAACATTTCATTTTTTGCGGCCAATTGTTATTTATTTCTTCATTTAATTGTTTTTGTTGTTATTTAGCTATGTAGTTATTTACTTATTTATCTCGTTATCTTTTTTATAGGGGAACACCTTCAATGTCCATTTAAGAACAAATTATTATTTCTGTGTAAATGTTACTGGAAAACGTTAGTGAAAAGCACAACAAAAGTGAAAAGGAAGTTTCCAATGAGAGTCAAGCTTTGGACATCACCATACGTTTGGTTGCCATTTTTTAAAGCTAAATTTACCTCTGACAACAGACAACCTGCAACTCCTTCAATTGCAAATATTATATCTACTCCTTTGAAATATGGGTAGTTATTTTAAAAATTCAAAGCAAAAATAAATAAACAAACTTTAAGACGTTGCAAATAACTCATTATTATGCCCAAACTTTGACGAGCGCCGGATTCGTGTCGTGACACGGCTTTGCTTTTACCTCAAACACTCCGACCAGAAAGATCTAATTTGTCGCTTTTAAGCACAAGGGAGCTATCCCGAAAAACGCTGTTATGAGAAAATCGAAGGTAAAATTTTTACCCCCTGTTCAGTTTCTTTAAAAGACAAGGAGAGTTTTCTCTGTAACCTAACAAATATATACACCAATGAAACCAACTTCTCCTATAGGTAGGGCGATCTCCACTTTTGGTGTAGGTAAAGATTTCTGGACACCCCCGAAATCTGGGTTAGCTCGCTTGTCCTTAAAAGCCACCCATTCAGCTCAATGTCCCGATACAGTTCAAGCCCTGAGAGGGTCCGATCTCTCTTTGTCCCGGCGTTGCTCAGCAGAGTTGAGTCCCGTGAAGTCAGCTGAGTTGTCGCTGTTATCATCGGAGGTGTAGCTCAGTCGCATCTTCCACTTGCCGTTCTGGATCTGATGTTGGTACTGTTGTTGATGCTGTTGTTGTTGCTGTTGCTGTTGATGATGTTGTTGATGTTGTTGCTGGTGGTGGTGGTGATTGTGGTGGTTTTGTTGGTATCGTTGCTGTGGCTGTTGGTGTTGTTGGTGGTGGTGAGGTGATTGTGAATGTTGTTGCTGTTGTTGTTGTTGTTGGGCAGTGTTCAGATCATTAATTTTCAGCTCCAGCCTCTGTCTGAGAGCGTTGTAGGAAGCCGTGGAGTCACGGTTGTCGCTGCATAGAGACGAACGAGCGCTGGAGTCACTGTATCGGAAAGCGCCGCCGGCCGCGATGTTATTGCTGCTGCTACTGCAGCTGCTGGCGTTGCTGTTGTTGCGGTTGTGGTTGCGCAGCACCACGCCACCACCACCACCACCACCAACGTAGCTACTGCTTAACCCTCCCCCAGCACCAAGAGCACCACCAACACCACCACCACCAACTCCTCCTCCTCCTCCTCCTCCTCCCCCTCCTCCTTTGCTGTTGTTGCTTCCGACGCTGCTGGTAGCATACGCGGAGTAGTAGTCACTGTCTGATGTCATCGCTAGAGGGTTGTCCGGGAACTGAGAACCATACCAGCTCCCCCTCTCCCATCGCTCGATCGGTCTCGATGTGCGTCGAAACTTGGGCGGGGGATCTAGTTTGGGGGCTGCTCCAGAAGAAGAAGAGAGAGACGACGATGTAGAGGAGATGAGAGAAGTTGCCGTGGTCGACGAGGCGGACATTGATGAGGCGATCATAAGACCGCCAGAAGAGAGGGAGGAGGAGGAGGGTGAGGCAGAAGGCTTGTCGTCCATGTGTTGGAGACCACGGGGGTTCAAATCTAAGTGTGAACCCTGTGTGTTTATGGGAGAGATAAGCTTGACTCTATCTGAAGCCTCTTTCCGTGCGGCTGGAGAATTTGCAGAAGGCGAACGGTAGAAGTTAGCCGAACGTGAGACATACGTTTCATTATTGTTGTTGCTATTATTATTATTGTTGTTGTTGTTGTTGTTGCTGTTGCTGTTGCTGCTGCTGCAGCTGCTGATACTACTCATGTTGTTGTTGCTGCTGCTGTAAGAAGGGGAGGGGCAGTGGAGGCCGGTGTCGGGGGGAACGACACCCTGATTATCCACACTACTCGTGCTCCCACCCTTCAGTGTGCTGCTCTTGCTGGGGGAGGACGAGGGCGGGGAGGAGGAGGAGCGAGCGGGGCTCAGCCAGCCATTCACGCCGCTCTCCGCTCTGACGTTTGACTCATGATTGGACGACGTCATAGAGGGGGCGGGACATCCGTAGGGATTCAGCCAACCGCTGGCGTCGCCGTTGGTAAGGCTGTAGACGAGGCTCTCCGAAGACATCTCTTTGTGCCCGCTGTCCGGGGAGTCGGCGTCCAGATTGGCAGCTTTGGGGTTGGCGAACGTGGCGGTCCCGCCCATAAGCTCGTTGTCTAAGAAATGATTGGACGAGGACGGACGCATGTCGGGGAGATAGACGGGGGCGGGGCGGGGCGTGGTCGCGTCAGGAAGTGAAGAGGCCTGCAATTAGAAAAAAAAAGATTTAAAAACTATTGAGTATACGAGTGAAGCGGAATATTTCACATTTTTTTCACACTAAGGAGTAAATTAGGGTGTAATCGGCTTTGGGATTAAGTTTGATGGAACAAAGCAGTGGTTTATTGGATATATTGTGTACGGCGATTCCGAGGCGACTTGGTCCGATCAGATCACATAAACCGGGTCTTTCTCTTCAATGTACCAGCATCCGTAGGCTCGTAACACTGTCACATAAATACTCCCCTAAGGTTGAAGCCAACAGAATTGGTAGACGGGTTTAGCCAATAGGATTTAAGGATAGAGAGTGTCATGAACCAATGCGAATAGTGGCAACGGAATTGGGTTTTTTGTGTAGTTGTTGTAGGCGCAATTGTGTCGGGAGTATTTGTTTGTTTAAATTTTTAAGATTGGAAATTATTTAAGTGTAATAGCTTGAGGCGTAGTTTGGTTGCATCAGCGTATGATTAAGTCCAAGCCTTTAAATATAGACGAACTCGAAGGTGGGGTCTTAACAATGGTTGGAGACAAATGTTGTGGAGAATAAGAGGAATTAACAGGAGACCTCTTAGAAGACGTAATAGACTAGACGTAGCAGAAACGTTCGTAGAATTCGTGCAGGGTACCGACGAAGAGCCACAAACGGCGTTGTTAAAGCTGTTGTTAAGAATAAAGCAACTCTTACTCGGAATATTAACAGTGAAGTTTTGCACCCTCAAAATGATGTTGTATAAAATCCATTGGGAGTGCTAGAATAGAGAATGATCAGGGGGGCCCGGATATCATTCACTGGTCTTGCTACGACCCAGCTTACATGCTGTTCAATTAAACAAACATGGAAGAAGACAACCAACTCACAGGGGACGTCACTTGATAGACTTCCTGCTGAGTGTGTGACGTCACAGACTGGACTTTCATCTCCAGAGCTTGGACACGTGACACCAATACGGTCACGTGGTCAAGCAAATCTTTGTTGTGAAGCAAAAGTTGGTGGGCTCGAGCCTGTTGTAAGAGAAAGTGGGAATGCTGTATGTGACAGAAAGAGAGAGAGAGA